AACTATTAACGTATACTCTAATACATTTAAATTCAAATGAGTCGGTCCCTGGAACAAGAATATTTTCAGATGGGATAGAGGAATGCACGGCAAATAGAACACCTTCACCGATTCTGTTCAGTCGATCACATCTAAAAATTTGAAATTCGCTGTTTAAAATCTCATTATCAAAAATGTGAGGTTTCAACCAAGTTTCTGTAAATCCAATAATATGGAAATTAAAATTGGAACTGTTCAAATACAAGTCGGTTAGTTTTGTATTAAGACCTCTAACATTTTGATAATAAATGCTTAGCGAATTTCTACCGATCAGTTTTTTATATCGGTGGTTGCTTTTGGTAATTTAACAATGTTTTCCTCAGTTTGACTTCTAAGTTTAGGTTTAAATTCGCGTACAAAAGCCCCAGGTGGCCAGAATGAACTATCTAAGATCTTTTTTAATGGTTCAAGAGATACGTCTATTTTAAACGATGATATACTTCTATCATAATTGAAGTTAAATTTACGGATATTGATATCATCGATTTTCAAACGTGACGAAATGTAAGATTTAATGTCCTCCACCAAGGTATCTGCATTTAAATTACCGTTAAATCTTCAAACTGTTAAAGAACCAACGTGTAATATTGCAAAACACTCAGCAATGGCCAAAGTTTTAGCGGTATCGAAAATCATCATCTGGGACGAATGCACAATTACGCATAAACGTGCATTAGAAGCACTTAACCGAACATTAAAAGATTTACGCAATGACTCGAGATGTTTTGCAGGAGCAATGATTTTACTGTCTGGCGATTTCCGCCAAATACTGCCAGTAATTCCAAGATCTACGGCTGCCGACGAAATAAACGCTTGCCTCAAATCGTCAAATCTATGGCGCTATGTGAAGAAACAACAAAGATGTAGAGTTACATTGCTTAATGATACTCGCTGAAGATTTCTCGGAAGCAATGCTGACATCGGTCAATGGTCGAAAGTACCTGTCGATGAATCGAGCGGATTAATATCATTCAAATAATTTCTGTAATTTTGTCTTCTCATCAAAAGACGAACTTATCAACAATGATTTCCAGAATTATTTCTAATACAAAATATTGAATGGTTGAGTGAGCGAGCAATTTAGCGGCTAAGAATAAGGATGAGATGATCTGAAACTACATAATTCAAAAATAGATCATGGAAACAATTGCATTTTATTCAAATCTATTGACTGCGTCAACAACATGAAGATGAAATCACCAACTATCCAATTGAATTTTAAACTTTTGGACGTGCCTGGCTTACCAACCGCACCAATATTACTCCTTAAAGGTGGCTCCGTAGTAATCCTGCTTCGAACAATAAAACAACCAAAACTGTGCAATGGTACGCGTTTTGTGGTTTAGAAAATTGATTGAACAATTGTAATTTACCGCTACGATAATATAGGAAAATTCAAAGGTGGGAAGTGCTCCATTCCGAGGATACCGATGATCCAACCGATATGCCCATTTGTGACCATTCAACAATCACAAGGCCCAATCCGTAAAAAGTTTGTCGGTTTAAATCTAGAACAGTTCATGTTCTTTCCCATGGTCAATTATACGTGGCATGTTCACGGTCGGAAGACCATCTGCTCTTTTGTTGTTGCGCCAATAAAAAACAAAAAATGTCGTGATATCACAGGTACTTAAATGGAAGAGCAAACCTATGTACTAAATACAGAAATAATTATCAAGATTATGTAGCGTATTTAATTTTTTTATATTTTTTCCAATTAAAAAAAAATCTGCTTATTTATTTCCATTATTAAGGCGGAACAAAGTTCGCCGGGTCAGCTAGTTTAATTTATAAAATAGATAGGTACTTACATAGTAAATTCACACGCGCACTTCAATATTTATATGATTAATCTGCCGCACAAAAATCACGTCACTTTTAAATTTAAGAATAGAACACTTTCGAGACTTAGGCATATATTTCACCATAAATGAGATCAAACTATTTATTCGTGTTATCACTTATTAACCGCTAGATTATTCACGAATATAATTTGTCTCTAGGGCAGAACATTTTTACTAGGAGTCTTTTAAATAAGTAATGGAAAATTAGTACAATATTTTGCTTATACATGATATTTAAAGGATTTCCCTAAAATGTCGTGTTGTACGAATCTAACTAAAGTGTATTCCTCCGAAAGTTTGAGGGAAATCCCCATCAAACATAAAATAGACTGAAAGTTGCCAGTTCTGAAATATAAAATCGGCAGAAAATTCGGATGAATTTTTTTGTATTCTACAATAGTTCCTAAGTTCTAGTCTAGTTGGTTCCTTATTTCCTATTTAGATATTTCTTCTTCTTAGTGTTCCACAAAATTTCAAAAGTATCGATACTTATTCGATACCAGTATATCGTATTCAAGATTTATAACGGTCTACCGGAAAAGGATCGAAACTAAACTAGTCGACATTGATAGGTTAAATATTTTCAATTATTTTTTTAAAATTCCGATTAGTAATATCTGTAATATCCAAATATTATCGAGAAATTTTCGAAACTTGGAGTCGACTTAATCACCAATGAGACACTTCTTAATAATTTTATCAAACTAACTAATTTGTAATCTTCGACGTATTTAAATTGTCGGTACAAAATAAATCTTGGCAACAGTTAAAAAAGTAAATCATGATTAACCGTACTTAAATCATTTTTTACTTAATTGATAAAATAAATCTACTTAAGTAGGGAAAATAGGAACCATCACGAGAAACTGGTCAACACACGCTCTAACATAAGCCTATTGTCTATATAGAAGGGTAATCC